ACAGCTACCGAAGTTTCTGCAGTTGGAGTAGCCAGAAGCATTAAGGAAGGAAGATCTTGATTTATGCACTGATCGTGTTTTCTCAAAGGGGAAAAAGTCACCTTAGGTAACGTTGGGGGTGGGGAGGGAAAGTGTGGGGCGGGGGGGTGTAGGGGGAGAGAGAAAGGAGCTCTGCCCCTTTAAAGCCAAGTTGCTATCCAAACAGAAGTAAACAGTGGTGGTGGAACAGGGAGGCGGGGCTTCGAGGGGCGGCCCTCGGAACGTTCGCAACCTCTCGGGCGTTCGGAGGGGGGCGTGGCTTCGAACGCTGGGGCGGCGAGCGTTCGAATTGCTGGGGCTCGGGGAGGGACTGCGGGCGGGGACAGAGCCCGCGCCGCGGCGAGCGCTGAAATGCGATGGACCCGCGAGGGGGAGGTCCAGACTCGCGCCGAGCTCCGCCGGAGCCGAAGGCAGGACGGGGCTCCCGGGGAAGCTCTATGCCGGCACTTGACTCGCCGCCTCCCAGCCGCCGGAGGAGCCTGAAAGCCCGGGCCGGAGGCCTCCTGGAGCCGCCCCTCTGACTCCTCGGAAGCCGCCCCTCGGAACATGCCCGGAGCCCCCGGGACTCGACGGCTCCACTGAGCGGGCTCCTCTCCCGAGTGGATCTAATGACGCCGCCAAGGCACTTGCTGGCCTGAGGAGCGCCGGGAGGACGTGGGTCCGGGGACGAGGCGGAGGCCCCGTCGGAAGAAATTGGCAAGTGGGAGGTAGGTAGTAGAGTGACAGCTCCGGAATGGTCGCCCTGCTTGGGAACGGGGCACCTGCGGGTGGGAAGTGAGGGATCTGGGCAGGAAGGGGCTCTAGCGGGGCAGAATAGGGGAAGGACCCGATTCTAAGCTCCGCAGGGAACCCCAACCTGGAGAATTGCCCTCGGAACCGTCCAGGAACGGGCTTCCACAACAACCAGAACCTTCTTGCCCTTAGTAATGTGACTGTTAGGATCCTTTGCGCGTTTTACATGGGAGTAAGGCTCGCTGAGCGCAGGGAGACTTCCTTCCGAGTAAGCGCGCGTGTAGAGCTCGGGCTGGCCGCAGAGGGCTTTGTCAGCCAGCTCGGTCTCTCGCCGAGGAGGAGCGAGCAGCTCCTCGCCTTTACTTTCGATTTGAAACCCGGCGGCTCACACCAGAACAGGGGCAGACCTGTCTTTCGGTGCACAGAGCCGGCTGTGTTCTGCGCGCTCCATAAAGCTCCGGGCAAGTGGAAGGGCCTCCAGACCCCCCCCCCCTTAGAAAGTTCGCACTCCAAAGGCTTCCAGGAAAGCCAGGTGAAGTCGCATTGCTCGTTCAACAAATCTTGGGCGAAAGATTTCCTTTCCTCCTCTTGATTTGTTCGAGATAGCCTTTGGGAACGCCGGAGCGGGACGGAGGTCTTGGTTTTGGCGAGGATAAGCAAATACAAATCTGTGGGATCTGGCAGGGATAGTTTCCCCCAGCTTCAGCCGGCGTTTGCCTACCTGATAGCTGAGACCCTCGGCGGGCTCTTAGCCTTCTCCCACCAAGAGCGGTTATTTATTTCCCTCTGACATCCAAGCAAAAGCTCCTTTCAAGTCCTTAGCCGTCGGAAGCCCTTGAAAAAGCAAGGCAGAGCCAGCCAAAGATCACGCCGGGAAGACTCTTGTTTCTGCAGACACTGGCCTTAATTAAATTAAGGATTCGGAGTGGAAAGGGAAGTGACAGTGTGTCTAAATAACATCCGTGTTTGATTCGCACCCTGACTACCAGTGGGCTCTCAAAGGAAAACACTGCACTTTCTGGCCTAATTTCTCCCCCCATCTCACCCCCACACTTTCTCATTGTCAAGTTTGGCACCTAAACGTATTTACTTTGCACTGCGCTGCTTGCTTTCGGTGGAAGGAAGGTTGTGAAGATAGGACTGCAGCCTGCAAGATGGCTCAGAGGGCAGTAAAGTCTATATCTAACGTTGTTCGGGGTGCAGTCCTACGCCTTGTTTTCATTCGATTCTGTGAAATACTGCCTTATGCAGGGTCAAATAATTACATCAGTATGGATACAGCAGGTAGAGAAATTCTGATATGTCTTATTTTAAAAAGACATTACCTTTGGGTTGTGCTGAAGCAAAAACAAGATCGGTGTGAATATTACACAACTTAAACACGTGGTTTTGAAAGTAAAGTTTAGCATTTTTTTTAAAAAAAGCTGCAATGGATATCCCATTGAATCAAAGAGCAAACGTGTGCAAAATCTTGTTGTAGAGAGGCGATCCCATGTAAATGAGTAGATTCTCCTAAAACCTGCGCTATTATTTTCCACGCAAATTTATAAAATGTACGCCTAAAGATCATACTTGTATGAACACTTACTAGGGAATGAAGTTGCAGTGGTTCAACTAGGATCAAGCCCCATTGAATTCAACAGAACTCATTTCTGAGTAGCAATGGTTAGGATTGTGCTGAAATAAATGGAACCTACTTCCAAATAAACATTAATCGAATTGTCTTTTTTTCTTGCAATGGGAGGCTCTGAATATATTTGCTTTTTTTAAATAAAAAATAAAATTATATTCGAAAAGTGACGTATTTTTTCATCATATGCCTTTAATCAGAAACGAAAATGTCGGTGTTAAACAAAAAACCCTCAACTTTGTTGAGAACAATTAATATAAAATAAACCATAACTGGGTTTTTATGTGAGCGGCCTAATCCCCGAGTTCTGGCCCTTGGTCTTAAAACAGGTTAACATTAAAAGTAACTCTCGCTTGATTCATTGGGATTGTTCCACTTAATGTGTGTTAAGCAGCACAGCAGCAGGAAGTAAACTCTAATTAGATCAGTAGCACTTAAGTTTCTGATGGATGTGTTTTTAGGATCTGTGAGGGAATCATTTAAACCGACTCAAATTTTCAAGCCGCTTTGGAAGGAAAATGCCAAAACGAAATTGGAGGCTCTGCCCTTAGCACATTTGCTTGGAAACAAGGACCATCGAAATCCGCAGGACTTCTAGAAAATGTGTGCGGTGAAAGTGTTTGGGGACAAATTGCGTCGTGGGCGTGTAAAAGCTGTACATCTGAAATATAAATATCTAGGAATAATACTAGTACTTTGGTGCTATGCATTACAGCTATTTTAATACAGAAGAGAAAGAGTTTTTTAAAATTAAAAAATCACGTGCTTTCTGGGTGTCCCCCCCTCCTTTTTAATATCCGAGAAAACATCTTTTTTTTTTTTTGTCAAGCGTGCATTTCATTTTTTTGTGTCAAGGTCCTGCAGCATGATGTTTTATCTAAATCAAGCAGTCCAGCCCAGATGGAGAGGGGATCCCCTCCCCCTCGTTAGGAAAGGACCCCCTTGAGTAAGTCTGGAAGCCCCTTGACCCTGGCACGATGGGAACTCCAGCAGGAAAAAGTAAACGAACCTCTTTCCTTTTTGCTTCCCATCTCTGCGTGGCGATGTCTCTTATCAGGATAGCCAGTCCTTGTGCGGTCGCGTTGCAGTGTCGAGGGGTGGGGGTGGTGTGGGCGCCATGATTTGTGCATTTATTTATTTATTTGCAAAAGGGAAAGTGATGAGTGGTGGGAAAGTCGTCGGGGGGGGGGAACGGGAGTTAATAGTTTCGGTTGAACGGGCTGAGTGAAACCCTCTGACTGTCACACACCTCTCATTAACTCCCTTCCCTGCGCACTCGGGTCGCATACCAGAGGCAAGGAAGAGGCTGCGTGTTTTGTTTTGGGTTTTTTTGCTACCCCTTTTTAGCGCTGCATTAATTTAGAAATTGTCCGTCCCCTTCTCCAACCAACCCCCAGAAGCAAAGCTCTGCTCGGCCCGGGCGCGAGTGGGAAACCGGGCCGAAGGCAACCAGGGCACTTCGGCCCCTTTGGCCCATCAGATGTTGATGCAAAAGAGGAAACGCACGATCAAGTACGACCCTGATGGTCTCTCCTCCTCCTTCCCTCTTTGCAAACTGGCGGTGCAGAGGCCTACAGCTGCCATTGGAGAAATCAATGAAGCCTTTTGCGCCTAGGAGCGCTTCTATCCAAACTGGTTACCCCTGCAGACTAATAACCCAGCCTCACGATCCTCTATTTTTCGAAATACAAAACCAAAAGACGATGCCTTTAAAGAAGGGGTGGGGGGAAATCAGATTATTTCCACTTCCCGCCCCGGGCTTGTTAATGGGTCGCAAGGCGCAACTCGGGGATAGAGAAACCAGTAGCTTTTTTCCGATCAGGCATTTGAAATAAAGCTCGTTTAAACTCTTGTGAGCATCTTCCAACCGGATTATTATTGTGTTTTTTAGAGGAAAGTATCTGGGGATGCCTAGAAAGGAGCATCTGAAGGCTTTATTTCTTTTCTTTCGAAAATTGCCTTGTGAGAGCGAGCGGGACTAACAGATGTGGCCGAGCCCAGCCCGTCCCAGAAGCCCGTTTAAATGCTTAACTCCCAATTGGATTTTAGGGCCGCTTTTATTTTTCTCGAAGTATCACATTTCCCACACTCCTTTCGGGAGGCTGCAGGGACGTTCCAAATGCAATAAGAAAGCGGAGCAAGGAAGAAGAGCCAAGATCCTGGGGCAGGAATGGCCGCGAAACTGCAGTGCTCTCGGAGAGAAGGGCGGGGGGCGAAGGAGTAAGCCTCGCCCGCCTCCTCGAGCGAGCAGGGCAGTGCTTGCCCATGCTACTTCTGCGGGGCTAAAGCACCCCCCAAAAATAACCTCGACCCCAGATTAAGGTCCGGCTGCCTGCTAGAAGCCTGGGAGCTGAATCCCATGTGCGAGATCCTCGGGGCAGCGCTCTGTGGCGCTTGCCTGTCGCAGAAAACCATCCCCGAGCGAGGTGGCTCTTCCTAAGGACTCCCAATGGAGGGGGCGGGTGTTTCCCCTTGCAGAAAAGCGGCCAGCTGGGCCCTTGGCCAGGGCGCGCGGCTACTACTCGCCTTTCCCTGAAGGCCGTCTGGGAGAGACCCTGGGGGTGTCCCTCTTGGGTGGCGCCTTGGCCAGCTGAAAGGGATCTGCGAGAGAGGAGGAGGGAGGGGGTATTCCGAGCCTGGAGCGCTTGGCGTCGAGGGGCGACGGGGGAAGTGTTGCTTTTCTCTCTTTCAATTATCTTGATTAATGAGTTGTCGCTGAGGGAAGAAAAATAAGCGCAGCAGCAGCACCGGGAAGGCCAAGGCGGGCAGCGCGGGCAGCCCCACCGCCGAGAGCCACCAACCCCTCCTCTCCAAACGCCCCCGCCTTTCCTCGCCTCCCGCGTCGGACCTTTACTTCCCCGCCCATGGAGACCCCTCTGCTCCCCTCCCCCTGACTTAACCCCACCAGGTCAACCTCAGCCGACGACTTCCAAGGCCTGGGAAAAGGCGCTATACCAGTTCAGGGTCTCGCCATTGAAACCTCGTGGACACTTCCGACGGAGCCGGTGGAACCGACTTCCAATGGCGAGGAGGATCCCAGGCGCTGGACCCCCCCCCCCATATAATCTGTTAGATGCGACGAAAGAAACAGCCCCCGACGTGAGAAGCGCGTTGTAAGTGTTCTCGCCCTTTCATTCAGCACCGAGCGGCCCTGACCGCTTGGTGTTTTCTATCCCCTTTGCCCTCCTGAGATGATGGGTGTCTCGGGCAAGCGCGCCAATTCGAGGCCCAGGCTGCGATCCTGGGTCCACCTGCTTAAAAGCAAGCTCCGCCAAGGCGAAGGAGCCCTCCACCTATGTTTCCTCGGAAGTCACGTCCATTAATTTGAACCGGAATTCTCTTCCATGAAAGCATGGGCCAGGTCATCGGCCTTACCCGTAGCGTGGAGTTGCTTACTTGGGAGCAAGCCCCCTTGTAGTCAATGAGACCCCTATTTATTACATAATAGGATCCTTTGGTGGGAAATGCAATGGATCGGGCTGCGCGCGTTTGGAAGTGTTTCAAGATGGGGTATCGGCTTCTTCGTTCAGTCTTACAACCGAGGCCAGCTTCCCAATGGGTTGCTGGTAGTAGGTAGCTGTGATCCATAACACAGCCAAATTCAAAGCAGCTGCCGTCGTACCGGTTGGACCTCGTGTGCCCTTCGCATGGTGGAAAGAAGTTAAATCGACCCAACTGAGCCTTACTCTCGTGTAATGTGTTTGGGATCGGGGGCCCCTCCGTTTTCACTGGTTAAATGAGTCGGGAGCCATGTTAGATGCACTGTGCTCGCACATATTTCCCTGTGCAGAGAGGGGAATCAGCGAGTATTTATCACTTTCCCCTCTCCGCCCCCTCCCCCGCAAGCCCCTGACATGACTTATCGCTTCTTCAGGCATCATGAGCTCTTAAAGAGCCTCCTGCTCCCCACCTAGGCGCATAAAAAGTCCATTCGAACAAGCAGGATCGCAGCCAAACGCCTTAAAAAAAATCTATTTGTGAAGCTCGCTCATGTTGGACGGTAGTCAGTAGCTCGCTTGTAAGGGCGCGCGAACTTCCCTGCTTACACCACCACTGTGTGCGCTATGGCAAGGACGCAGAAACCGCACACCAAAGCAGCCCCCGCTTCCAAACGGCTCCTGTCCTGAGCCTCCAGCCTTGCAGGACACCGGCTTCCAGCGTTAAGTGGCCGGCGCATCGCGCTCCTCCTGGGTCGTTTCAAAAATATGGACTTTGTAGTCAGTTCTGCCATCAGTACAACTCGCATTCAGAGGGGGCGTTCTGAAGAAGTCGATGAAATGCTGGATCTGGGACCCCCCCGCCGTTTTCAAAGATCCTAGTCCTCGTGACCTTACCCGCAGACGCAGCCCTTGCAAGGGAACGCGGCTTTGATTTCTTGATCCATCTACGATATTGGAAAGAGTCACTCTGCCTAAACGAATTGCGGAGTGTGTGTGTTGCAGGGATCCGTGCGCTTCATTGCTATTTGATATTTTCAGGTGATTTTTTATTTGCGTTGGCCTCTTGCAGGTAATGCCGTTGCCTCCCAACTTTGCTTGCATCTCTTAACTTTATATAGGATTCCGCCGGTTTGAGGCCCGCTTCACCAGCGAGATCAATTCGGAGTCTGAATTATTCGCCGCTCCAACGACAGCCCTCTCATTCGGGCCCCCTAATTATTTATTTATCCTGGTGGCACATTATTATTGCTGTGAATGTTGTTTAATTCTACTGTACTTCGTCTTAAGGGGACCTGCAACTGTATTAAAACCAGGCCCCTCTTGTCAAATCCCCGTGTAGACGCTGTCTTTGCAATAACCTGCCTCTTGTTTTGTTTCTGTTCCCCTCCCTCCCTCTGTCCCTGCTCAGGACCTGCGCCCGTGCGTGCGCCCCGAGGAGCCGCGGGTCGCCTCCGGCCCTCCACGGCCAGGCCCGGCCGCTGGGACGATGGGGAGCAAAGCGCTGCCGGCGCCGATCCCGCTGCACCCGTCTCTGCAGCTGACCAACTACTCCTTCCTCCAGGCCGTCAACACCTTCCCGGCCGCCGTGGACCACCTGCAAGGCCTGTACGGCCTGAGCGCCGTGCACACGATGCACATGAACCACTGGACGCTGGGCTGCTACGCCGCGGCCGCCGCCACGGCCGGAGGCGGCGGCGGCCCGGCCGAGATCAGCCGCTGCTCGGCGCTGAGCGAGATGGCGGCGGCGCAGGGCCTGGTGGAGCGCTTCCCCTTCCCGGCGCTGCCCTTCGCCACGCACCTCTTCCACCCCAAGCAGGCGGCCGCCATCGCGCACGTCCTGCCGGCGCTGCGCAAGGAGCGGCCGCGCTTTGACTTCGCCAACCTGGCGGCGGCGGCCACGCAGGAGGACCCGCCCAAGGCGCACCAGGCCGCGGCGGCGGCGCACGGCGAGCTGGCCAAGCTGAGCGGCCCCCTGTCGGCGGCGCTGGGCAAGCTCTCCCCGGACCGGAAGCCGGCGCGCGGCAGGCTGCCTTCCAAGACCAAGAAGGAGTTCATCTGCAAGTTCTGCGGGCGCCACTTCACCAAGTCCTACAACCTGCTCATCCACGAGAGGACCCACACGGACGAGCGGCCCTACACGTGCGACATCTGCCACAAGGCCTTCCGGAGGCAGGACCACCTCCGCGACCACAGGTCAGCTCCGCTGGAGATGCAAAAGGGGGACTGTTGGGCTACTGCCCTCGCTCCAGCCTCTTTGGAGAAAAGGGTGCCCATGGGGTTCTGCCATGCAGGATCCAGCCACTCCCCGACCCTCCATTTCCCTTGGAAATTAAGCCTTATGATGGATGGCCTAGTGGTGGTTCTGAGGTTGAGCCGCATAGCTATCAACTTTTCCCTTTCCTTGCGAGGAATCCTATTCGGAATAAGGGAATTTCCCTTTAAAAAAGGGAAACGTTGACAGCTGTGGGTTGAGGTGCCAACCAGCAAGTCCTAGGCTCCAGTTTCCCCCTAAACCCACTTAGATAGGCCTAGAGGAGAAAGGTCTGTTTCTCAGCCTCCTGTATGCAATAGGGAGGTGGTTGGTGTTATTAGTATGCTGCCCTAACTAACAGTGCAGTTCTCATTATGTAGGAGGGGCGCCTGTAGGATTTATTTCCCAGGGAACAAGGTTGGGACTGGGAGTATTGGGTTGATTTGCATAGAAGCAAGTGACATTGATCAGAAGCAAGTCATCTTCCACTTCAGTGGGCCCAACTGAGGGTGAGGAGTAGCTTCAAGGTGGTTGGCTTTCATGACACTTATTTCCAGGGCTCTGCATCTCATCTGTACTCATCTGGGCTTTCCAATCTTTCCCCTTTTGCTTTCTTTTCTAGTCTGTAGGATTTGATAAAGGCTTGGTGATCCCAGCAAAAGAGCAACAACAAACTACTTTGCCTTTGTAGAAATAGCATTCGATAGAAGTCCATTAAGGAAGCTGCAGAAAAAATTCAGTAGATTTATAGCCTAGCAAATGTGGATCAAAACTCGAAGGGGAGGGGCAGAGAGAAGGCAGTATGTTCCTTGAAATGAATATTTCCTAACACTAATGGGATGTTTGTTCTTTTCTGTCCCATACATGCCAGAGAAACAACATTTACAATGTGTTTGTAACAGTGTACAAATGGCCCTTTTCCTCTGTTGCTTGCTCTGAGAAGCTCAAGGGCTTTCTGCCTTTTCTCATCCCATCAAACGATAATGAACTGTGGGCCAGATCCTGTGGGGGTCTATAAACTTAGTAAGGCAAAATTCCAGCTGACCTCAGCTGGAACAAGTGGGACCACAGCCTTTGCATGTACACCTGAAAGCAAGTCCCTGTGCATGCATGTGAAAGATTGCATACTTCTGTGCATTGCTACTCAGAAGTAAGTTCCACTGTTCTCAGTAGAACATAACTGTAGTAAGAGTGTTTAGGATTGTCTCCTTAATTTGTTAGCAGAAAAGGGCAATGAAGCCCTTTGGAGAAACTACTGTCAAGTGGCTGCGGAAAAAACCTATGAAAAGAAAATTGGAAAAGTGGATTTCAGTGTTGAGTTAGGCTTAGTCTACAACCCTGTACCCTTACCTGGAAGCAAGCGTCATTGACCTCAGTGAGACTTACTTCTGAGTCAACATTTATAGCATTGTCCCATTAGTATAATTTCCCCCCAGATACTTGAGCTACATAGAGACTACTGCTAACTGTTATGGCTCTTTCTGTGTCTACACATACTGATTCCAAATGCCTGTATTGGCTTTTAGGTATATCCATTCCAAAGAAAAACCGTTCAAATGTCAGGAATGTGGGAAAGGATTTTGCCAGTCCAGGACTCTAGCAGTTCATAAAACTTTACACATGCAGGTAAGGTTAGATCCATATTTCTTTAGACAGTTTATTTTTATCTTAATTCTGTTCCAACTCTTTATACATAGCAATATTCATTATGAATAAGTAAAGACATGTAACTGTACCAGAGGAGTGATGTTGATGGTATTTAAATCAGATAATTTATCCACTACTGACCTCCACTTTGCTTCATTGTGCAGAAAATATGACACAGTCTGAACTTTTATTTCAGTTGTTCAGAGTCATTTAATTCATTTTTTGGGGGTGTAAATTGTCTTGACTCATTCTTTATGGTAAAGAAAATAAGCACACTGGGATCTTGGAAGGATTAAAGAAGCCTGCAGAAGTTGTTTATGGTTGTGATCCAATGCACAATTACTTGAGAGTAAGTCACATTGAATTTAACAGGATTTTATTCTGAGTAAACGTGTGTTGGCTTGAACATCAGTTCATTTAAGACTTGCATATTCCATAGCTGGAAAAGATTCATTGGGAAGTCTGGCACTTCTGAACCAGATGAAATGTATGCTCTGTTTTTAACAGCTCAGATTAAAAAAGACTTGCTTTGTGGAAAGCTTTCCACTGATAGAGATGATGCAAGTATCCCTGGGAAGCTGGGTGGATTAGCAAGAAGCATTTTTCAGTAGATCCTAGAGATGGGGAAATGTGATGAAGTGAGGATTGTCCTTGACAGGCAAGAAGATATATCCGTGCTGTTAAGGCTGTAATCTTAAGCACACTTACCAGGGAGTTAGTTCCAGTGAGCTCAGCTGGACTGACTTCCGACTAAATGTCTATTAGGATCAGGCTGCAAAGAATTGTGATCTTTTACCTACAGCAGATACATGAGCTATCCCTGCCCCCCCCAATGCATTTACTGGGAAGTAAACTGTTAATAATTTCAGTAGAACTTGTCTTCAAGTAGGGCTGAATTCCTAAGCATACTTGTTTCCTCCCTCTTTGTTTATTTTTATCTTCATAACAACCTTGTGCAGTAGGTTAGCTAGAGATATAGGGGATTGGCAGAAGTTCACCTGGTGAGCTTTCTGGCCGAAGAAGAATATGAACCCACATCTCCCTGGTCCAATCCAAGCTTATATGTACTATCCCTGACAAGTTCTCTATTTTATTTTTAGGGACTTACTTCCAGTTAAATGTGCTTACGACTGGGCAGCAAGCATGCTAGGATCCTCACCTTACTTTCAGGACATCTTCAAACTTATGGATATTTACTTTGGAGTAAATCCCACTGAATGCCATAGGATTTACCTCTAAGTAAACACACATAGGATCAGGCTACAAATGCACATACAGCCTAATCCTGTTTTGGGTTTAATTTGTTCTTTTTTAAAAAAACAACAACTAAGAAGTAAACATTGTTTTCCGTGGTGTTTACTGCCCATTTAAATGTGCCTAGAATTGCAGCCTTATGTGGAAACCACTTCCATGGCATTTAGGCCTGAGAAGGGGCACTTAGGATTTGTGAAGATTTATTTCCCGCTATGGCATTGGTGTTTTGAAGGGAAAGAAACTGGGGAGGGTGTGTGCATATAACGAGAGAAGTTTTGAGAAACTCAGTAAACCAGGTAGTTTGTAAAGGGTTTAATCCTTTGCTTGCTTCAAATCTGAACAGGAATCTCCACACAAATGCCCCACATGTGGAAGAACCTTTAATCAAAGAAGTAACCTGAAAACTCACCTTCTCACCCATACAGACATCAAGCCCTACAACTGTGAGCAGTGCGGCAAAGTGTTCAGGCGAAACTGTGATCTGCGGAGGCACAGTCTAACTCACACCCCGCGGCAGGACTTCTAGAACCCTCCACAGGGAGCTAACTCTGGCTCAAAGGACTTGAACTGTAGAGAAATCTTTAAGCCCATGCACATGTGGACAGATGTATGCAGGGCCCCATCCTCCCTCCCTTGGCTCCTGCCAAAAGCAGCTGGGGTGGGCAGCACAGGGGAAGTGACAGCAGCCCCAATCTGCTTTCCTCGGCCCAAGAGCACCTCTTGTAGATAATAACATCGCAGCTCATTTTAGAGCTCTGTACAGAAACTGTGGCGTCATGTGTGTTTGTGTACTTCCTTTTTTTTTTTTTGTCTTACCAAATGCACATTGGTAACAAGGACAACGAGAGTGAAAAAATATTTTTAAAAAGTGTATTGCAAAGTAAACCAGTTTCCCCCCAACTCTCTCACGTTTGATAATTAATGATTCCACGGACAGTGTGGTTATTCAGTCCTTCTTTTCGTGTCAGTTAAAAATCAGGAGAGTCCGGTAACTGAAAGGTAAATGGCATTTCTACTTAAGCTGGACTGTTTGGTTTCTTTTTTTTGTAAGAACGGTTTTGATTTCTAAATATCGTCTGTACATTTGTAAAAGGGATCTACATTTTCAAGTGTTTTAATGGTGCAATCTTTTGCATGTTTATTCAGAAGTGAACTATTACTAAGAACAGTTGGACCTCAAGATCAGTTTAATAGTACACCTCAAGACATGACTCCTCTTGAGTAAGCTCACTTGTGTTATATAGGATTTACTTTAGGTAATGGATTTAAAGGAGCATATTGGGCACTAAGCCTCATTGAGCAAATATACAGGGGGAAATGCTGCAGAACTGCCGGTTCTTTACTTGAGAAGACATTTTACAAACATGCATACGCACAGAACATTTAAAGTACACCCCAAAGAATTCTGGGAACTGTAGTTTTTAAGGGTGCTGGGCCTTGTAGCCCTGTGAGGGGCTAAACTACAGTTCCCATGATTCTTTTTTGGGGGAGGCGTTAAATTTATGGTATGAATGGGACGCATAGGGCCAGGCTGCATTAAATCTGTAATGCAAAAAGCAAGCAAGCCCGGGTATCTTTCCTTAAAATGTTAGCACGTTTACCTATATATTTCCTCTCCTACGATTCCCCATGCAAAGCTTTGAGAGAAAGAGAAACGGCAGGACGGGTGGTGGGCTGGGAAAGGCTTCAGAATCCTAAACCCTGAAGTTATTTATTAGTAACTTATTGGCAATCGAGCCTCAGAAGCAATAATCAGCTCTTCTCTACAGATTGCCTGAGATAGCGCCCTTGCCTAGACTTTGAACGCGGGCGGCGATTTGCCAGGTTTGAGACAGGGACTTTACACCGCCCAAGACGAGGCTGCGGGCCTGGCAGCTCCCTCGAAAACAAATACAGCGCGGTGGGGTGGGGAGGAAGGACCCTGCCCCCTCCAACCCTCCCGGCAGCCGAGCGGGGCTCCGCGGGGCCGCATCCGACGAGGCTGCCCAGGGGGAGCCGCGGCGCGGGAGCCACACGATCGCCAAGGCGTAGCAGCGGTGCTCACGCAGAGCGCACGGGGCTGCCGTGGGGAAAGGGAGCCCATTTCCAAAAACGAGGATCGGGGCGGAGGGAATCAGCGATCACGAAGCGGAGGAAGGGATGCAAAGCGAGCACAGCGGCAGCTGCCGAGGGAAGCCAAGCTGACAGCTCCGGGCAAACGCCTCTAGGCGGAAGGCTGCCAAGACGCGCTCTGGCCGGCTTCCCGCGCTGGGAAACACGCGGCGGGGGTGGAGAGGGAGCTCGAGGGAGCCTCGGCTCTGCCCGGGAAAGGCGGGGAGGTGGCGGGTCTGGTTGCTAGTGGGTAGATCTGGGTTGTTATCGAAGGTGAGTTTTCTGAGGCGGGTCCTTCTATATTCCTAAGAATAGATTTGGTTGCACTGCAAGCATTTTCCCCTAAAACATGTGCTGCGGTTACTTGTTTCAGCAACTATAGTATAGCAAAGTTATCAATACAGGCCTAGACATGGGCGCAGCCAGGATTGTGTTTTATCTGGGTGCCAAATTTAATGGCCTCACAGCCTGGATGTCCCCAAATGAACGCCCAGAGAGCGACCAATGTTGGGGGCAGAAGCATCCAGGCCCCACATAAGTCCCTGGACTGGCATCTGGGCACGTGGGACCCAGCAGGGCCTCCACTGATTGGCGCAGCATCTTTTTTCTAAAAAATAAATCAATCCCACATTTTATAGTTGGGTGGGTTTGATGGCCATTTCTCACTTTGACCAGGCACATACATGCTAACAGATGCCTATTTTATAATTTTTATTTTAAATCTGCACTATCATTTTCTACAAAGTGGTTATTACTCCCAAGTGAATGTGCTTTTTACCAGAAGCAGAAGCACACCCCATTTTGTTCAGGATGGTGCTATGATTTAAGCGAGTTTAAAATGAGAAACTCCATGTGTTCAGAGTATTCCCCCCCCCCCATCATGGTTGGCAAACTTTTTTATTTGCTCTAATGTATCAGGAATGCAGAAGCAGCTGTAAAACATGAAGTGATGGAGGAAGTAGAGTAATGTTAATTTTGTGCTTCAACCAAAATAATACACATAAAGGAGGGAAAGGTTGTAAGACCACTGAGTCTGGGGACTAAAATTTCTGAGCTGTATGGGAGGGTGTGGGAAGGCTAAGGGGATTTGGGCCCTTGACATTCATATGTAGACTCATCTGACATAAGTATATCCATATAGGTCTACTCTACACATTCTGAAGTGGTAGCAAGAAGGGATTGCTACCTATATATATGAAGCTGCCTCATACTGAGTCAGACCATCAAGTGGATTGTCTACACTGAAAATTGAAACTGGAGTTTTTTCCAATCCCACCTGGACATGCTGTCTAAAAATCCAGGGACCTTCTGCACACAAATTATGCATTCTCCCACTGAGCTAATGCTTATCTGGTTTTTTCCTTTATCTCTGAAACTCGAAATCTCACACAACAAAGAAGCAGGATAGAATGCATGTCTCCCTAGTCTGATATGTTTTTGCTTTCAGATTTTTAGTGTGTGGTGGTGGTCATGTAAAGTATGGGAGCATATAAAAATGGTACACACACACACACACAACTGCAGTCTCAAAAAGTGGTAACAGTGTTCTGCCACCTCATTCTGCTGCAGGTGTAGACCAGGGCCCAGTGTGAAGAACCATTGAGTTGTCCCAAAATCTAGGTGCTTCTGTGAAACGATGCCATGAGATCTGAAAGACATCTGCATGTGACATTGCTGCAAATCGGTGAGGACAAGATGTGGTTACTCAGTAATGAGGGGGGAGGCTATTCACGTGCTCAGAATACTGTATTATGACTTCACATGCTCCAAAGCTGAGCCATAGTGTGGAAAAAGAAAGGCTGGCTTGGAGCCCTGTCTCAGATTAAGTATAATAGTCACAGGGTCAGTAAAATGTTACAAGCCAGTGTTCCCAAAGTGGGATTTCAGCTTTGGCGTGACAAACTCAGAAGCTCATATACTAGCTACATAACTGACACTGCTTTCTCCCTGTAAGTGCATTATTTTACAGAGTGACCCTGCAAACACTACAACTGTTGCCAGTGAAGATGTTTGCCATATCTCCATATTATAGTTTTAACCCAAACGTGTGAAGCATTTTACATTTACACTTTAAAAACTTAAGCAGGAACCCCAAGGCAACTCTTTCCCTCCACACCCAACATTTCAAACCACACTTACTTATTTCTTAGGTGCTATATAGAAGACATTAAAGGTAAGCACAACAATATCACTTAAAATGCAATATGTTGGGACTGTTTAATCCTGGATATAGTCAGCCTTTGAACGCTGGCCATTGAAATCTCTTCTTTGCCCATCAAAACATCAAAGAATATCGTTGCATCCAAACTAAGCTGCTCTGTAGTTGCACTGAAATCAAGTTCCACTGTAGTTCCACTGAAATAAAGACTCTGCGACGGCTAAACTGTCAGAAAGCGTGATGAACAATCTGGATTCAACAGATTTCTCCTCCTTCACTAATCTAGTTCTCTCCTTCTCTGTAGATACTGATTCCTATGTTCAGCCTGCATTTGAGGAGTTAATAAATATAATGGTATAAAAGAGAAGGAACATTTGTGCTCAATATCTTCTTTAGCATGGGTATTATGTAATAGCCTTGAGGACAGACTTGTATACTTGGCAAAGCACCTTGACACGAGCGGAATGGAGCTGTCTTCTCTGTGTAGTTTGCTGTTTCATTTACAACACTAGGTTTACAAGGCTTATGTTTGTAATGCTGACCTAAACATTTAAAACTCACATAAGACCATTCAAGTGCCCTTTGCTAAAAATATTCACACAGCTGGGAGCAGCAGTTATATGAAGTGCGAAGAATGGGCCACTCATCCCCTGTAAAATAAAATTTTTGCATAATCCTAAAATATGGACCTTTAGGATACATGTTACCAATTTTAATCACAAATGTATGCTATATGGGGAGACAGATAGCAGAGCATTCCCTTCAGCATCCCTGGTAAAAATGGAGGGCAGGAGCCAAATCTGTTGATTGAAAATTATTGCTATTATTTGCCCACACTAAGGTCCCCGGATAGGTTACAGCATCTTTGGGGGGGGGGGTATTTTCAGCCCCAGAAATGGGTGAGAAATGTTGGGTGGACCTGGAATGTTTTGAATTTGGAAGAGGAAAGGAGAGTCTTACTATGGGAACGAACAGCAGTGGTTTCCTCTCTCCGCCTAAAAAAATGTATAAAATACATATTTGTTGCTCCCTGTGATAGTGGCAGCTGAAGAGTTCTTCTCAGCAGTCACCAAGAAAAGCTATGCAAAAAATGCATGTTAACATTTTTTTCAAGAAAGGAAAGCACTGTCACCTGCCGCTAAAATGTCCCACAAAACCAGGGGGGTAGTCCCACTCTTTGACAATCTACAAATCCCACCCCGTAAGTCTGCCACTTTTTAATATAGTGGTGTGATGGAGTAATTCATTTCAGCCCTAGTACAGTCAGGGGGATTCCAGAGGAGTATTGGTACAGATTATGAAACATTTCACGGTGCTCCCCCTTTCTATTCTAATGTTCCATGAAAGTAACACATAGGGGAGCAGTTAGAACTCTTTAAGAAAAAGCAGTCTGAAACTGACAAGTTTTAAAGGCATCCTTAAATGCTTACAAATAGCTATGGGGCCACCACAGGGAAGCTCCTGTCTCTCAGGCCTGCAAACTTCATTGATCTTACTAAATGTTGCATTGTCTTCAACAGACAATGGAATGCTCATATATTCATGCGGGGTTCAGTCTAAACTACTTTAGAATGTAGGTAGGATGGCTGTTTTCCATGAAAGAAAACATCCTTGCACATAGAAAACTAATGTGTCACAGAGAGGGCTGGAGGGGGAGAGTGACTCAAACCTCTCTAGTTGATGTTTTGTGTTCTGAGGAGTTAGTCAGTTATATTATAGGAAACAGTATTCAATCAGGGAGCCACCACCTGCAATCTGAAATAGTACAGCC